TCTCTCTCTCTCTCTCTCTCTCTCTCTCTCTCTCTCTTTACTTTCTCGCCAGGCGTCGTTTAACCTCATCTCTTTCTCTCCGTAGATGCCCTCGAGAACGAGAAGATCTGTCATATTCTTAACAACAAGCATAGCATCAACCTGCGCAACGGCTCCGCAGCGGTCGTCATGCCGTCTCACATCTTCGATCGCTGGATCGTCAAGGCCGATCGCAACTGCACGTTTATCTTCAAGACCAGCAGCGGTGAGGGCATCTTCGCGGTTATCCAGAAGATGTTTTTCCGACGCAACGGCGATCAGTGCCTCGATTACGTACGAGTGAGTGGACGAACGATTACAATTAGCGCTTGCGTTACATTGGATTCCTAACAAATGTTTCATTAGTTCAAGAGAAGCGATGGTCATCATACAGCCAAGTTCTGTGGAGAGATAGACCGTAGCTGGATAATGTCCCTTCCAATTTCTAAGGATGATTTGGATGCGGACAGTTTCAATTATGCGGAATATGATTCTGTCAAGAAATGGAAACCGTGGAGTATAGGAGATATTGCCATGATAGAAACTGAAATATTCATCTCCAAAGAAAGAGTGCCAAGTGGACAGACCTTGGATCTTCTTATAGTTTATACTCCATACAAAGGTATACTTCTTTAACACATTTATATTAACATTTATTTAACAAATGTTTGGTTTATATACATAGATTTTCTTATCGATAACTCATTTGTAGGTTGCAGTCACGCAGACCCCAAACAATATAGGGATGTCGGGTTCAATAATTGTATTCGGAAAGAATATGTATGCGACGAAATCTACAATTGTCCCTTTGGCGTGTGCTCGGACGAGGCGGATTGCCCGGTCAGGCAAACTGAGCGGTATTCTAAAAATAATACTTCGACGAAGATCACTGTAGCAGCAGTCACTACAATGGTTCTCTGCTTCATTCTGTTCATCATATGTCTATGGGTCTGCAAGAAATCTCAAAAATTATGCTGGTCGTCGGATTGCGCCGGTCCGAACGTGCGCTCGCGGCCGGTTTCCTTCCCGAACACGGACGGCGGCCCAGAATCGAATCGCACGGTGTCAACAGCTCCCATGTTGGAAGTCGCGGTATCTTCGCCCGTCGCGGACAAAGATCTGCCACCCAGTTATGACTCGTTGTTCCCTGAACAAAGTAACTCTGCCAGATCGTAAGTTATTGAATCCGATTGAGCGCACTGATCTAATGTTTTAATTAGACACTGCGTTATAGACCAATCTTTCTCTACGCACATGCTGTTCCATAATATGAATGAACAGAAGGTTCCTATGAACAAGAACCCTCTAATAAATTAGTTGGATTCTATTGTGTGAGTTAATATTTCGTGATAATGTGATTCAAATTTACGAACTTTGAAATTCTTATTATATGTTATAAACAAATCAGTCACAAGAGACGCGGAACTATGGAACGTTGACTATTCATCGTTCATTTTGTGGCAATAAATTAAGAAGGCCTTGCTAAATCGAATCGATGAATTTGCATGTGTCAATTTCGATTATTTTGACCAAAGCAATTTTTTATAATCGGAGCGCTATTGCTTCTCCACCGTCCATATCTGATTACGCCACTATATACGGTACATTTATATACAGTACATTAACATTACGTTTTTTTTGTTTTTTTTTTATATGAGTGAGATTATACGCGAAATATAGCAATAAATAGGTAGCTTCGTTAAGAATTTCATTTCTCTTTTGTATGTAGTTTTAAAATTCCTCTTTCTTCACTGCAGTCATATTGAATTATAACATTAAATATGAAATTGGAATTATAACATTAAATATTCATTTTTTTCTTGTATATGCTAAATTAAGTTTTACATATATAATTATGACTTCGCTCTGATTTATATTCAGAGCCCGTAAATATTTGTCTTTATTTAACATTTAATAAACAAGGTTGAAATGATTTCATAAGCGCTCTGAGCATAAATACAGCCTAGTGTTCAATAGTATATTCCAGAAGAAAAGAAGATTCATACGATTTTATTTTACCAGATTTTATGTAGTTAACGTAACTAGTTATAGTGAGGAAACAGGAATTTTAGATATGAATTTCCACATTTTGTATTATTTTTTAATAAATATTGACAATTTATACAGTGTGAATTTTGCGCAACAAAGAAATAATTTTCTAAATAGTTTCTATTTGTTAAAATAATTACGATTTTTTTGTATAGCAACAAAATAGTGCAGTATTTTTTAAATACGTTAATTAAATCTAAAGCTATCATCCATATTAATCTTCTTCACACATTTAAACTTATATTATCGCCTTATAATACTTGATGCAATAGTAATTATCTCGTAATAATAATTATTTGTCAGGAGCTATTGTGTTCATAGACATTCGTAATACGAGCGATACGTGAACTTGCTATATTGTAACAAGTATTTGATAAATGCCTTATTTGTGAGCATGTGCAACAATATATACGTATATATTGTCGCGTATAAATTGTTTTGTACGTATATAAGGTATAAAAATTTTATAAAATATATACAAATAAATGTATGCGTATATTTTTGAAGATTGAATGTTATATAAGTAAGTCTTTTTACAAAATGTATGTAATATCATGTAAATATTCAATTGTGATAATAAAAATTATGTATATAAACGCATGTAATTAAATGTTACGATTTAGTTTTCATTTTCGATTTTTTCTGGATATATATGCTCCAATAACCACAGATAGTTGTTAAGTATATGATCAATCTCAACTGCTCCAGTTGATAACTGATGATTATCATCGTACACAAGTAATCTGTAATATCAAATTTGTCGGTAATTATCCAAGATTTTTATTTTTCATTTAAATACGAATGCCAACTTACTTAGTTTTCACATTATTTGTTTTAAGTCGCTTATACCACATTGTTCCTTGAGAACAAGGTACTCGCAGATCTTTCGTTCCAATGCAGATCAAAGTTGGTGCCTTAACTGTATCGACATGAATAATAGGTGAAACCTCTCTCATTTTCATAAACAGGTTGACGTCTTCGGGCCAAGGACCGGTACTGAAATCATAAGTATAACCTGCTTCCGTGATGCACCTGCAACAAGAAGTTAAATCACATTAATATGAATAAAAATTTAATACGAACATAAATATGTTTGTGTAAACCATCATGTCACAAATAATTCATATATATATTTATAATATTCATATATATATTTAAAAATTCATATATATATTTATAAAAAGAAAATTATGTATTTCAGTCAAGTTTAGACTAGTCATGATTATTGAGTACATTGAGATTGAGATAACTATCAAGCTTACACATTACGAAGATATGTTATTTTCTCTTCCTTAGTCAGAACATTGCGACTGAAATACAAATACGGAATTGAATAATTAGGATGCGAACAAGGATGTTATTAAATATAAATATTTTTTACCAATCTGGAATATCCGAAGTGCCAAACATGGTAGCGATATCAATTACTGGGTTTCTTGCAACTACTGCTTTGTACAAATTCTGAAATGAAAAAAAACAACTTTCATGTCAATACTTTATGCAATATTTAAACTACTTGTATAAATTTATTATTTCACTTGCTTACTGGAGCTTGTCCACTTAAGTGTGCTACTAAAAATCCACCGTGAGAACCACCGCAAAGACCTATACGTTCAGGATCGAGCCACACACAATCCTTCAATATTTGTTTCGTGGCAGTTATGCAGTCTTTCACATCTACGTCACCCACTTTTCCTTGAAGATATTCCACCGTTGCGCTGCCCATTCCCGTAGAACCACGATAATTTACTTGCAATATTCCAAAACCTATATACAGAATTTTTAAAAAGTTTAATTTTAAAAATATAATTTTTAAAAGTTATACAGAGAAAAATATAAATTTAAAACATCTATTACCTGCGCACGCCATAAAAGCAGCCTCCAAAGAAAATACATTTGTAGAACTGCTATGTGGCCCTCCGTGGGGCATAACTATTAAAGGTATTACTTTGGATTTTTCAGATACAGGACCAAAATATGTATAATTGAATTCCTCTGAAAAGTAAAGAAACAAATTCAAATTATCAAAGTTTAGCAAAAAAAAAAAAAACTGAAAAACAATAACACAATATTCTACTTACCTATGTCCTTTTCGTCATCATAAGAATATTCAAAATTTTTGTGTAACATATTTTCTAGTTTTGGAATTATTGTTGTAGGTAAAAGTCCAATTAAAAAAATCAGGCCATATTTTAAATCGTCATATTCAAAACGACCTAGCATAGGTATACCAGGTCGCTTTGCAGAAGATCTCATAAATGTAATCAAATTATTTTTACATCCAATATAGAAAAATTGTATTCATTTTTCCCATCCTCTATATGAGTAAGTATTTTTGATTCTGTAATAAAAGTGCATTGTTTTGACAAGAGAATGAATACATTCATTAAATCATAATTTGATATAAATACAATAAAATTTAAATATATCTTACTTATATTCAAGAAATATGACCGAATAGTATACTTTCGAGATGTACTGAAGAAAATATATGCAGCATCTTCGCTCCAACAACGACGAGGTAAGCGATTATACATTCCATAAAATTTATGGTTCTTAGCAATTAGTGTCATTGCTTTTGTTTCTTCTAAGAGCTTCTCATTCTAGATGAAAAATATAGCAAATTTTGCAACTTAAAATACTAAAATATACTTCTACTAATTCTTAATTTAATTATCCATTTATAATTGATTTAATTATTAATTGTATTTTTATTATAGTACATTACTTTGCCTGTTATTAAATCGTGATACATAATTTCTTGCGCGTTATGATGCGGGACGGCACCGGCTTTTCTCTGCACCCATACGACAAAATGTTTGTTAGGACTGACTCTAGGACTATGCACAGCATATCCATCATCAGACAATTTCTCTGCGTATTAATTATCAATTTTATATATAATTTTCTATTATTATATCTTCTATTATTTAAATGTTTAAATTTCAATTATTTAATATTTCTTACCATATTTTCCATCTATCAATGAAAATATCCAGGAGCATCTACTAGTGCAAGCAGTAAGACCTAAATATACAGGCTCATGTTTCCAAGCAACACCAATAATACCAATATTTTTGTTTAAATTTATCCAAGACACTTGACCAGGCGAAACATTGTCTGGTATTTCAGATAAAATAGTGATGTTGTTTATCATTGTATCGAGAACCGCAATAACAGGACGATGTTTCCCTACCAATTGCTCTCCCCAGTGTGGTTTATAAATATATTCATTACCCTATATCAACAAAGAAATTAAATTAGCAAGATATGTATATGTACACACACACACACACACACACACACACACACACACACACACACACACACACACACACACACACACACACACACACACACACACACACACACACACACGTGCCACACACAAAAGATAATAAAGAACTTTATAATTATTCAAGAAACAAGAAATTTTACCACTATCACTTCGTTATCTTCTTTCTTTTCATTCAACGGTTCTTGTTTATAGAAAGGTTTTGATTTAGGAAGCTTCTTCTCTGCTATGTACAAAATCTTCCTCTTATTCGGACACCATTCAAACGAACGAAATTCAACTGAAAAAAAGATAAAATAGTTAATATATATTTGTAAATTTAAAAGCTCTAGGCCCATACCATCTGTATAAACTTCGCCATGGACATCCATAGCAGATAAATCATAATTTTTCACTAGATGATGTTTATCCCAGATTTCTATAAATTGTTTTGTAGTTTTATCAATTGTAACTTGTCGCAACACTGCTTTAAGCTCTTCATCCTCTGTGAAGGCAAACATCTGTCTGTTTGAGATAAATATATTTAAATACAAACAATATTTATATTAAATATTCTTTACTAATGATATCAATTATATCAATTATATCAATTATATACTAATGATATCAATTATATACTCTGTAGTAGTATCAATCGGAAATCCAACAATAGATGAAGTCCAATTTGAATGTATATCATAAATTTGTGTAAAGCGTTGATCCATCTTTGTATCCAAATTCCTCTGCGTCCATGTGCATTGTACAGATAATGTGTCACTCTTAGAATTCAGAATATATGCACTATTTAAGGTTGGATATGCAGCTAACGTCTGATATAGATCTACCAACTCCTTCACCTATAAAGACACTTTCTGTATAAAATCATCATTTACATAATACTTTAAGATATTATTTAACAAAATTACTACAAAATATTAATAATATAAGAAATTATTACGTACGTCCTTGACTGGCATCTCCATCCTGGCTCTCTTGCGTAGTCTCTTCTCACTATCTTACACTGAAAGCTAAATATGCATCTGTAAATAAAAATCTTATCTATATATCAACTGATAACGGGATCTAAATAAATACTGCAACTTACACGTTAATGCCGCGTTATCTGTCTGTCACCACGTAACAATCAGCGATGTGCTATCGAGAAAATTTTGAAATACCGTTTTCTGATGTTGAACTGTTGCCGATTATAAAGAACATTGAATTCAGAAGGATGTTTATATCTCTGTAGTCAAATAAAAATACTGAGACCCACTTTGTGCTACAAGTGCTTTGAGGCATTCTTTGATTGGTTCATCGATAGAATTCTTTATTCTGATTGGTCAAGTATTGGAATACAATACAGAATAGAACACAGAATGGAACGTTACACATCAGCGTTATGTTTTGAATATATATATATATATATCTATAGTATATGTAGTTATTATCGGATACCCTGTATACAGCATATACATATACATATTATATATACATATACATATATATATATATATATATGTATATATATATATATATATGTATATATATATGTATATGTATATCTCTCATGGACAAGTAGAAGCAGATTATATTGGATAAAAAAATCTTGTATTTTATTTTACATTTTCGCAATAATTAAAAAGTTATTTATTTATACAGATCCATGACAGAGTGAGCATTTATGCGAAAGGATAATCAAACAAAATAGTGCTACGTCATGTAATTTAGCGGATTAGACCATGTCCTTCAATATTGCCTCTTTGATTTATCCAAAACTCTGTTTACTTCAATTTAATATGGAGAGCGCGAGATTTGAAGATTTAATTAATATTATCTCTTATCATTGATGCAATTTGAAATAAAATTTGATATAATTACATGTAATATAAAGTACAAAATGACGTAAAAGAACTAAATAAATATTATATATCTTTTGTCTTTCTATTTGTATTTCAACTGAAGAAAATCAAGTGATAATATTCACTCAATTATGTATACATACGAATGTATACATAATTGAGTGAATATTATCACTTGAATGTATGTGCTTCATTTTTTTGAGCAAGAGTTTATACCAACAAGAATAACACGACAACAATTTTCAACATTTTAATGTCATCATAAATCAGATTAATCAGTTACATAAAAAATTGGCGCAACAAAATAAATCTATTTACAATCTATAGCTTACAGTTCTATTCACTTTTTACAATAGATATTCTTCTTCTA